CCCTTCACCACTGTACTATGTAGCATTTCATGCTAGAAAACAGATGTTCTTATCTCTTTAAATAGAGGATGTTATAAACTTTACAGAAGATGTCTAAGATAATACAGTTCTAATATTTATTGTGCTGTACCTGGCCCTGAAGTGTGACCAGTTCAAACAGTTTCATATATATTTTTGTCTTTTTTGTTTTGTGTCTCAGTTTTCAGTGTTGAGATTCTGATGTTCACTGTGTACTGCAAGTCTTCCCTCCACAGCTGTGGGAGGAATGAAAAGATGGGCAGAACCCAACCACCTACTTTCTTGTATATTTCATAATGTATGTTGCTGGAAATTGTGTAAAAAAACAAACAAACAAAAAAACATTTAAAAAGCTGTTGGGAGTCAATGAGAATAAAATGGATTTAACGTAGATCTTACCTGTTCTCTTTTGTGATGTCAAACCAAAGCTGTGTGCTACAGTGGCATGCACAGACCACCATGAGCAAAGCTTACTGCTTGCTTGAAATCTTAATTCATCATTTTGGGATCTCTTTAAATGGGGATAGACAACTTAGCAGGTATTTAACCTCAGGTCCCCCTTTTCAGTACAGCTTACACAGTCTCCTCAGGCATTACATGGAGAGAAGAATTACACTGTAGGACGTGCTCTTGGGATAGATTTTTAGAACTTTAGCGTAAGAGAAGTAGAAATGCATCTTGCTTCTCAGTGCTAATCCAACAATGCCATGTTATGGCACTTCACTGAGCCTTATGGCCTTTCCCTCCCCTGTATACCACATGAACTTCTGTAGCAGAAGGCAAATAGTACGGTTGTCCACAAGCTAAAACAATAACATGATAGCTTATTTTTTTTTTAAATAAGGATTGGAATTTGTAAATAACACTTTTATTCAGTCTGTTGCTATAAACATCATGTTCAGGCATTTTTGTACATCTTTGACCACTGCTTAACACATCTCTGATGGACATGCTTTACTATCCTTATATACATGCATTTATTTTATATGTAGATGTGCATATATATATATATATATATATATATATATATATATATATATAT